CTTGCAAACTTAAGTGGTGTAACTTTAATCATCCCAGATGTTTGGTTTCATAGTCAGTTGCTGTTTGGGTTAGATATAAGCACCTTTTGGTCAGAGAATGCAATGTTTTCTGCAGAAGGGAAAAATTGCTCTTGGAGTAATGAGAATAGCTTAGTCTACTCGGAATAGAAAAAGAAAAAATTGATTTGGGTATTAAATGTTGGAGAACAAAGTTTTCTGCTTTGCAGGGTGTTCTCCTTACAGTTGCAGTTATAGTTAGTGGAGAAGCTTGCCACCAGCAGTGTTTGGAGCCCTGCAAATCCTGTTGGCTCAGTATTGACTCCTAATTAATGATCCACATTCTCACAGATGCACTGAGGCCTTCTGTGATGTGGCTGGACCAGTGGAAAACAATAGAGTCATTTATTTCCAGCTGTATTTGTCCCATGAATAAAGGACATGAATTAGTGCCAGTGTGTGGTTTCTGTTGGCTGCTGTACAGAAATTTGGCAGCTTTTGTAGCCAAGGGAGTGTAATTTATAAAATTCAGAGATCTGATGTCAACTGGTCAAGCTGTCTCCAAATGCAACATGTTGAGCTTTTCTCGAGTTCGCTTTGTGTACATAAAGCCCAGTTCTGGCTACAACAGCTGCATAGTCCAAAAAACCAGTTCAAGGCCCAGGGTGAAATAGGGTGGAATAAAGCCTTTACTCTGACCCACACTAATTAATCTCTTTCAATGAAGCCAGCATATAGCTCTGTTCTATGAGGAAGCCACTCAAGCTGTATCTGGTGTCTCTGCTTCCATCAGTGTGATGGTGACTGTGTTTTCCTTTTACCATGGGCTAAAAATGCTCAATAGTACATTACCAAAGCTGTGATGCTGTGATTGTGGACTGCTTCTGATAAGCTGTACTTGCACTAATGTACTTTAGGAACCTCTCAGATAGGACAAGTGTTTAATGTGCACATGAGGACAGTGTCCTCTGAGGCAATGTCTGTAACTCATGTGCTGGTGTAACCTAAGATGTTTTACCTGTATTACATTGGGGTTTACATCTAGAATTGAACTGGGATTTTTTTCTCTTTTTATAAAAAGTATCAGTGATTGTTTTAATATGTTTTGAAGTTATCTAAATGCCAGAAAGATTAAATATTTTACAATACTCAGGTTCATTGCATGCAGGTTCTTTAAGCAAGCTTGGGCTGGCCATGTGCTGTCCTCAGGCTGTTTTGCTGTTCCAGACATTCACCAACACCTATGCAACTGGTTTGGACTGTTCCAGTGAAAACTGGGCAATATGTGTGATTTTGTTGATAAATTGAATAATCAAACCTCGCTTTCTTGGGCCAAGCTATATGAGGTGAAGCTGACATGGTGCTATTGATTTTACCTCTAATAATGCTCTTATCTGACTCTGACATAATGGCTGGAAGTGAGAATTGTGTCTGCTTGTGGAAGAGCAGGATAACACACACCCGCGTGTGGTTGTGAGTGTACATTCATGTGCATACACGCACACACATATTCACAGACAGACCTTTTCTAGAGGCTGGGACACTTGCTGTAGTTCAGTCCAGAGCACGTTCCAGAGGGTTGGCCAGCTCTGGCATATGACCATGGATAGAATTGTTTGTGCATTGTCCTGGCTTTGTTACAAGTGCCAGAGTGATCCCATTGTTTGAGTGGGATCTTGGTTCAAATGGAATTCTGAGTGAATGAAGTGTAGTTTGGAGCATGTAGCATTTAGCTATTGCTTTTTTGCCCCTTATGTCTGTTCAATGTTTTATGAATGTTTAGCAGAGTCTTTGCACAGCCTCATTAAGTGCCTTATTGGGCTGCAATGGCCAGGAGTGCTGTTAGCAGTTCCAGCAGGAGGTGTGGCCATGTATCCTGTACTTGTCAAAGAGCTGCTGGACTTGGGAAGAGCAAGACAACCAAATCCTAGAACGCTCATCAAAAACGAAAATTAAATTCCACAAGCTTCTGTCACAGATCATCAACATCAGGGACTTACTCACATGTGCTCTGTGCACCTTTTCAAACACTGCCAGAAATGGACCTCTGCAGCTGCTGCCTGCAGCTGTTTATGGTTTAGCTGTAATTTCATAGTTCTGTACATGCTGGAGAAACCAAGATGGTTTATTGACTACAAGCAGACTCTACAGCCAGAGGAAAGGACACTTTATACTATGCCAAAGTGTAAATAAGCCCACAAACCCAAATGTGGAAAAGCCATTCTGTTGCTGACAACTCCTTTGTGATTTTTCTTGCCACAAGGATTAGGTGCTGCTTGGAGCTGACTTGCCAGAGGACTCGTGTAGTTGGAGCTTGCTGGATTTTGTTGGGGTAGCTCCATGTTCCCATAGTCCTCACCTTGTTGTGTTTGGGAGAGGGGAATGAATTATCTAGCTTCTCCCTGCTCTTTCCCTGTCTTTCCTTTCCCTTTCCCCCTGACACAGATTTATAGAGAAATAACAGGTTGCTGCTTTGTCTGTTGAAAGCTGTTCTTAGTTTCTGGCTTGATGTTGTCCTAGAAAGAGCTCAATTGTGATGATGCAGTGATGCAGACTCCCCAGGCAGTGCAAAGGAGAGCTGCTTTATTGCAAAACCCAGGCCTTTTTAAGCAGTTAGCCATTTATCAATTTACCTAGTAAAGGTAAGGTACAACAAGCCCAAGTCAGCCAACTACTGAACAGCATGATGTGGACAATGCAGCTGTCACGCAGCACATCTCTCACATCTCTCCATCCCTATTCCAGATGAGTCACTCTCCCATAGTTCCCTCCTATTTAGCCTAAGTATCAGGCCTGAGCCATGATTTTACAAGGGTAACAAAGCCCTTATTTTATAAGGCTTTACCTATGTGCAACAACTGATGAAAGCGAAATCCTGCTAGTGAAACACTGAAAGAGCATGAAGTTCAGTACATACAAGAACTTCTCAAGGAGGAAGAAGCTGAAATGTAGAAATTCTGGTGGAATTGAGTAAGCATATGATAATTCAGTGTTGGTTGGGGGGACATAAAGCTGACAGTATGAATAGGTCTAATAGCTCAGCATTTGTAGTGTTGGGGTTCAGTAGAAAAACCATCAGGTAACCAACAGCAAATAGTTGTCAAAAGCTTCTTCTGAGGTTTGCTCAGTGTTCAGGTCACGGATACAGTGGATTAAGTGTTGAGATGACATGGTGGCCATGAATTTTCCGTCAATACCCTGCCCTTTTGGCAGCCCCTTTGAGATCATAGTGATTTCTGATATGGGGACTAAATTGCACCAACATCACACAAATACCTTCCCAAACCTGTGCTGATAACAGTCTTGTGCTGAGTATTTATTATAACCAGATATCTGCTCACACCCATGGAGTCATTCACACATGACTGGGAATTTCTATGGTGGGAGACATGTGGTCCTCCTGGTTCTGCAGCATCATTTCCCTCTCTTACCTCAACTGATAGATGTCAAAATCATGGCTTATATGTGGGACAATAGGCAGGTGAAAAGGAGCAAATGTTTTTTTCCTGTTCTGCATCAAGCAGGGAATGCCCTCTTGGAACTTCCTGGTGAAGAGGGACAGGAATAAGAACTGGGGGCATTTTGTTTGCAGGACATCAACAAAGGCAGTAGAGGGGGATGAGAAGTTTGGATTTCAGGACCTTCCAACTCTAAGCCTTCTTCTAGGTAGAGTGAGCTTTTCCTTTAGGTTGATGTGACATCCAGGACAACTTGTGTGCAGGTACTCACATGGAAAAAGGTTTCAGTCTCCAGGCTCACAACTGCCATTACACACATTTTGTGACACATGTACATCTTTCTTCTCTCTCTACTTATGCATCTTTTTATCAGGATGGCTGGGGGCTGAGATAAGGACTTTTAAGTCCCCATGAAAGTACGTAACTCAGTAACATAAACTGTTGTTGAGAGCATGAGCATGGTGCTGCCTCTCCCTGCATCCTTACGTTTAGTGTGAGAGTCCAGCTCTCAAGAAAACAAGAGCTCCTCAGAGGGCTGAATGTCACACTCAGCTCAGAGAATTCACCCTGAAATGGCTATTTTTTTACTTGATGAAGGGAGAATGTTTCCTACGTGGAGAGGACTCCAAATCTACTCCACTGAGAAATCTATATAAAAAGAAAATTTTTTTAATCCCCCACCATCTTGAAGTGCCAAATAGATACTTTTCCACTAAGCTCATAGTAGTACTTGACTTGGAAGCATAGGATCATCTCTTAAAATGTGTTGTGTACCAGCAAGGACTGAAATATCTTGCCTAGAAAAAAACAGATCTAGCTTTTAGAGCAGGACTTTTCTGTAGGCTGGCTGATTATTGCTTTGTGCTGCTTGACTGTGATTTTTGGCACACAGTGTCACATACCAAATTCCCGAAATAAAATGCTACATGATATTCTAAGAGTTCTTAGGAAGCTTTAAAAAGGGATTTGTCTGCTGAGTGGGTACCTCTTCTGAAGCCAAATGATGCAGCAGCAATGGTTTGAAAGGAGAAAACTTTAGTCAGCAGATAATTAGTCTTTTTAAATAAGTGCAAGGAGAAAAAAAAAATCTTCCATCAGACTTGTGTTTGTAGAAGTTGTCAGCAATCCTGGTTTGATTGTAGAGGGTGTGCAGCCCTTTGAATAGTTAAAACATCTGTTCAGCGACGTTGTGAAATGCTCGTGTTGGGAACCCCTGATAAGGGGGACTGCTGAGCACTTGGCTCCTACAGGCTCCACAGGCAGCAAGGGCTGCACTAACTGTGGCCACTGCTTGCCTTTCCTCCTCCTGGGCAGAGCACAACGTAGGACACAGCCACTATTTTCCATGTGATTTTGCTTTGAGAGGCAGAGAGCAGGAAGTGCCTAGGAAATGGTTCATGACAGAAACCTGGAGTTTTAAATAGGAGAGAAGAGGAGGAGGAGGAGAGCACATGGGCACAGTTTGCGAACAGTTGAAACACTGACACAACAGCAGCAGGGGAAAACCAGACTTCTGAGAGAGCAAGCACCTCCCAAGCTGTCCTGATGGAAGGAGAGACAGTCCCCGAGGCCAGGGGAGCAGGCAGCAAAGCCACTCGGATCGCCCTCGGTGTCTTTGTGAGCGGCACTGTTGTGCTTGGCACCGCTCTTTTCTTGGGTAAGTGAAAGCCTTGACACTAACCTGAGCACAACCTCCAGCCTGCCTGCTGGGTGCCCGTGTTTGTGTCTCACAATGTCTTTCGGTGAAAATCTAAATCTCTTTTTCTTTCCCCTCTTTTTATATTTATTCTGAAGGGGTTTTGTGTCAGTAAAGGAGTTCTTGTTGTGGGAATGCTAGAGCTGGGGGATGCAATGGGAACTCATGTAATGTTTTGAATGCTGAATTTAAATTTGGATACTCAGTTGAATGTGTTCTGACCAGACTTGGGCTCTTCCACACGGCAGAGAGAAGCAGGTGAGATTATGCTGATTACGGATTCAGTCTTGTGACTGATGTGAAATAATATTCTCGGTTTCCTGAAAATGAATCTGTGTAGTGCGTGCATTTTATGGAATCTTTTAGGGTTTTCCTTCATTTGGTTTTCATTTAGGGCTTGACTAAAACCCCTGTAGAAATCTTCAATAGTGCATATGTGTGCACATATTTTAGATCATTCTGTTCTTCTATGATGAATTGCAAAGTTGCCTTTACAAAAGTCATAAAGAGTGCATCTAGGATGAAATTGAAATATTTTTGTTACATATATAAGCTGTAACTAGATGCAACTAAGAAGGAAATAGTTTTTCCTCTCCTAGATTTGGACTTAACTGTGGATTGGTTTTGTTAGCATAACTTGAAAGCATATGCGTACACTTTTGAAATTATGTGTAGAAGTATAAATATGCCCAGAAACTCCAAGCAAAAAGGAAACAGTGTTTTATCCTGTAAGAACTTTGCAGAGTTGGATCCTCTTTTGGAACAATTCTGCCCAACTTTTTGTTTCTTTAGACCAACACAGATTTCCCCAGATTGGTGGAAATCTTGCCTCTAAGTGTGTCTTTTTCTTTCATCCAATCCTTTATCATCTTGTTTGAAAGGTCTGCTTTGTTTGCAGTCACAAAACAATGTCAGGTTTTCTATAGAATATTTAAAGCAACAGGCTCACTCTTGGTTAGAGCTTTTCTGCTCTTAAGCAATTTCTGCAACATTTGCAGGAAAATAACTTCTGTGTCAGTGATCCCATTCAAGTAAACTTTTTATAACCATGAGTGAGTTTGAATCTTCAAATTTCTAGATAAAAGAAAAAATTTTTTCCCTTAAAAAATGCAGTATAAGCACCAGGGAGTAATAATGGAGAGACCTTATTTCTTTTTACCTTCACTAGATTTGTTTGTTTGTTGCTTAGAGCAATAAAAGCAATTGACGTTTACCACCACAGCTTCTCAGAGATAGAACTGCTTTATCCATAGACCAGGTGTGAAAATTCAGGTGAATATATTAATTCTTGCAGACAGTTTTCCAAGTGTGCCTGTGGCATGTTCTGTAGGCAGCAATTCAATATCAAAATTTTCATTGGCATAACTGCTAAGAAAATAAAAATGCTGGCCTTGGGACAGCCAAAATGCTTTTAGGATTTCTTTGGAAATGGTCTGAAATTTTCAACCTAAAGAACCAAGGAAAAAAAGTTAAATTGTTGTGGTTTAACATTTTTTCAATTAGATGTTTCCACGCTTCATTGTGACATGGTTTTGTTTGTAAGTTTGAGCTAATTTTTTTTTAAAGTTTTATTTAACTGTAGAAATGGACATCATTTTTTCTGTCCATATGAAACATTTCAGGCACCTCAAAATGTTCTTTTTTCTTCAATTTTCATTTAGTCTGCAACACTTATTGTTTCTGGTACACTTGAAATTAATTTTCTAGGCTGAAGAGTGAAATGTAGCTTTCTCCTGCTCTCTTGTTCTCATAGTTCCTACAAGTCTAAGGAGGATGTGGGAGAATCAGGTATTGTTATTACTGTTCCTTGCTCGTGCTGGCTGTGATCTCTCTGTGACTCCAGTGGGGAGCATTGCTGGGATCCTGCCTGTGACACTCTGGTGGGAGTCCTGTGACAGGACAGGAGCCACCTCCTCCTTGGAGGAATCAGATTGCTCTCCAGTGTCCTTGGGTGGGAAGTCAGGCAGCTTTGAATCTCAATTTGAGAGCCTCTTCTACAAACTTGGTGGAACATTCATATTATTTCCATCTGTACATTTGTATTGTTTTCCTTTTCCCTTAGAGATTTATTTTTTTAAACTCAGTTGTGGAGTGCATTTGCTTAACAATCTGGAAACAGGCTTATCAAGGAGGAAGCTTGGATGCTGAGGGTTATAACCATGACTCTTAAGTAATAATGTTGTGATTAGTTATCTTAACAATAAAAAAGGCAAGAGAAAAAAACTGTGCAAAGTTTTTTCTGTCAAAATTAGCTGTTATTTAAAATGGAAATGTTACTACCAAAAATTTATTCTAATTATAAAATTGTAGGTGTCCCATTGAAATGGTATTTTGTGTTTGTTTAGAAGTATCAAAAGCACAAGGGCTGCCTCAAATTAAGCATGAAATTATGTCTGGGCTTTTCCCTCCTTTCTCTGCTTTGTTGTGAAAAAAGTCTAGCAAGCATTCAAGACCTGGATGGATTCTAAAGGACTAAATTCTAATCAGGGAAAAAGGTGAGCTGGGAGGAGTGCAGCACTTAATTAAAAGGGACAGTATCTATTATTTGTAGTTCATCTTTGTAGTGGCTCAAAATCATATTCTGGAGATCTCCACTTCTCTATTTTCTCATGGTTTTCAATATTCCAATTAGAACCTTTGCATGCCTCAAAATCTTGTGTATTTCTTGGCTAATTGACAGAGGTGTTTGAGGTGTTGTGTTTCACTAAACCAATGAAAGCTTTGAAAAAGCTGTCCAGAAATAGTTTTACATTCCCATTTTTTAAGAAACTTGGATTGAAATCCAGCTATTTCTGCTATTAATTGCCATTTAAACTGTGAGACTGGAAGAGAGGAAACAGCTTTATGTTCAATTCTAGCTTTAGGACGTTTTGCAAAAAAATTTTCCTGGGCTGAAATGAAATTTCAAATTTTTCTATCACTTTAAAACATATAATTACAGCAGAAATTGCTTTAGAACTATCAGCACTGTTAAAGCTATGGTACCATAATATATTCCATTGTTGGGTTTTTTTGTTCAGTGTTATTTGCTTTTTTTGTTTTTGCCATGGACTGTTATTAAGATAATGGGTATAATGAGACATTTCTTTATGCCTACTGAGCACATCTAGTGAGAACTATTTCACCTATCCCTTGGGATTCTCCCTTCCTAAACGCAAGTATTAATTATCTGCATATTTGCTGCCTGAGAGCAGTGTCTGAAATTAGCAATTCCTGTGCTTAAATTTCAGTGGCAGTTGTAATACATGTTTTTAAAAGACGAGCGAAATTAACTGACAATTTCATAGTTCTTCTCAGCAAGGCTTTTGGAAGCAAATGCAATTACAAAACTTACAAGACAATTCAGACAGAACCTGGGTTGTGCCCTATAAAGCGCAGCTATCCTTGCGCCCATTGCAGCCTGCTCTGTTCCAGGCTGGAATGAGGAGGCCCTGGGAGGGTCCTGTTGGTGCTGGGTTGTGCTGGGCAGGGCAGTGCTGCTGCAGGGCAGTGTGGGCAGCACAGATCAAGGGAGCTCTGGAAGCCCTACAGAGGGTGGGGAGGCTGCCCCGTGGTGCATTTACAACCATGGAAGGTGCAGCCTGGTCCTGTGCAAGGTCTCTGCCCATGGCAGAGCATTGGAATTAGAGGATCTTTAAGGTCCCTTCTGCACCTAGCCATCCTGTTCTCTTGTTTCCAAGCTCTGGAGGATTATAATAGTGTGAATAGTTTGTATGTGGTGGTGCTCACTGTCAGGGAGTAGAGCTGAAGTGATGCTGCTCCAGGCACTGTGCACAGACAGCCCTTGCTCTGTGCTGCCTGTGAGCAAAGAGGGGCAAGGAGAAAGCAGCACTAGGAGAGGGAAGTTATTTGTACAAACTGCAGTATTTACATAATATATATTCTAAATATTTACTTAATATACATTCTAAGTGCTCTAAATCAGTGCAGTCAGAGAGGCACTGGGACCAGAGGCTGCACTGATATTGGAATGATTGAGTACACAACATTTGGCTGCAGCTGTCAAAATTCATTGCAAATGATCTCATTATGGTTTTCCATTTTGCAGTTAGCCAAGGTCTTATAAAGTTTCATCCGAAGCAACAGTACTGTTTGACTGCAGAATGCATTGAAGCTGGTAAGCAGCAATTTTATCTTCTCAATTATATCATGATTATAGTATGTTAATGAGATATTTGTACCATTTAATTTTTTTCCCATTATACATTTTACTCAGAAAGTTCAGTTAATGAGGGAGAAAGAACAACAATCCCAAACTTTTTAGAAAGTCAGTCCTCAAGTTGCTTCTGTTTTGTTTATTTTGTACAATTAAAATTCGCATTTTAATTTGGTCTAATTCTACTAGTCTAACTAGGTTGACTCAAAGTTTCCCGGAGGGGTTATTTTCTTTTTTTTTTAATAAGAAAAAAAAGTGTTGAGTGACTTTGAGTGACTAGACCTTCAGGAAGATTTTGTTGCTTCCTTTCCAGTTATCAGAAAACTAGCAAGTGTGTTGTTAAGCAGAGAGATGCTTTTGTACCAGATCTGGCACACATTTTATATGATTTTATATAAAAAGAGGGTAGATTCAGACTAGTTATATGGAAGAAAATTTTTATGGTGAGGGCGGTGAAACACTGGCACAAATCACTCAGAGCAGTTGTGAATGCCCCATTCTGGAGGTGTTCAAGGTCAGGCTGGATCAGGGACTCTGAGCAACATGGTCTAGTTGGTGATGTCTCTGCTTTTTGCAGAAGGTTGGACTAGGTGACCTTTAAGGGTTCCTTCCGAGCCAAGCTATTTTATGGTTTTATGATTATGTATTGAAAAGCTACTGAGCCTTGGGCTTGTCAGACTGATCTCTCTCTTACCACCTCTCTTTCACTGACAATAGTAACTGGTAAGGAAGCAGTCACAAAATGGAGGTGAAAATGCTGCAAATCTTTTACAATGAATCGTAGATCTGAATTTGATTTGTTTTCTTATGCAGTATTCAGCTAGAGGTAAACACCACATATAGCTACTCCAATGCTAATCACAATCTACTTAATATGTATCACTACTAAATTCCTCAGGCAATTAATTCTATCATGACAACAATGGAGAGCCTATCTTCAAGTGCCTGGCTTCAGCAGCTCATGTTCATGTAGTGCTAAGTTCAGTCATCATTGCTGTATGTCTCTCAAGAAGATTCATTGCAGATATTTTGTCTTTTTTGTTTGTTTGTTTATTTCTCATTAATCATAATTTCTGGACTGTAGCCCTGCCTAATTCTCTATTTATGAAAAAGTGTTCCACAAAATCTATGTGGTATTTTTTTTACAGCTGCTAGCATCCTGAGCAAGATAAATCAATCTGTAGATCCATGTGAGAACTTCTATCGATTTGCATGTGATGGCTGGATAGATAAAAACCCCATTCCTGAAGATATGTCCAACTATGGTGTTTATCCCTGGCTGCGACACAAAGTGGACCTCAAACTAAAGGGTAAATAGAAAATTTCTAAAAGTACTTGGTTGGCTTGTCACTGTAACTTGTTAATTGGCTGAGTTTGAGAGGATCAAAAATCTCCACAGTTCTCATCACTGGAAAATACCCAACAGCCTGACTTGATGTTCTCTTTTAAGTATATTTTTCTTTTTTTTTTAATTGAAAATTACATTGAGACATAATGAATTTAACATAAACAGAATTTGGGAGGAAGAATAGAACTGCTGGGAATTCTGGTAACTCTACAAGTTAAGAATGGATGGATGAAATTATATGGATTATAACAAAAGGCAAAGACAAGGGGATTTAAATCTTTCCCCCTTGAAGTAGATGGTTAGACCAGATGTAGGAGCTCAGCACATGCAATTAAGAATGTCCCAAAATCAGTCATCAGTCCAGGGCAGCAGGCTGTCTCTAACAGTGGCCAACAGCAGGAAAGAATGTAATAAAGCCAAACCAGGGTGATATTTTCCAGTACACCTAGCCCTCAGCAGAGGCAATTCTCAGGGTTCTGGAGATGGAGGTTGTTTGGGTATTGGGTTTCCTTCCCTCTGCCATTCGGGCTGCCACTGAAGTACCTGAGCTATCATCTGTGAAACAGAAAGTTGCTTAAGAATGTGTTTCTGGAGGAAAAAACAGCTCCAGGGTGGAAATGTGTAGGAAGAAAGGTATTTTAATCTGCATGTGACTTGACTTTGGGCTATACTCTGCAGCGTGGCTACCTCTCCAGGAAGCCCTGCAGGCCAGCTGGGGAGAAAGGGTGATGATTATTGTTAGGTAGGAAAATCTTGCCAGATTCTTACAGTCTTGGCTAGAAGTGAGTCATTCAGAAAAAGGGAGACATGCAAGATTTAATATTGTTGGTGGTGTGCTTGAGCTTTGCCCACCTTGAGTACATAATTGACATAAGAATCCTGCTTGAGCTCACCACAGAACAGAGGCCAGTTTTAGAATTTCATGCTTAAATACAGCATTTGTTTTTCTTTGAGTTTTGTGTAGGCACCAAAGCTCTTCTCCAATTGCTTTCTGCAGTCTTATTGTATCCAATTTTCACATCATTAAGTATATTAAAAGCTGCATTTGGGTTCAGAATATGAGTTTTGGTTTTCAGCACAGTACATGATCTCAAGACTTTTGTTTAAAGTCTGCTGAAGATGTCACAAGGAAAGGAAAAATAATGTTGCCAGAGCCTATTTTAAGTTATGCTTTGCATTCTAATTGTTCTGCTGCCAGAATTGGGCTGTATTAGATAAGTGCATGTCCTGCATGAACCATAGCCACAAAGAGGCCAGTCCTAATTGAATATAGAGTAGCAAGCTGTCACTGTCATCCTTAATTTCCTCTTTTTGCAGGTCCTAATCAAGGACATCATGCTAAGCCAGATTTTTATTTGGTTTTCTTTCTGCAGTTTCTTTAGAAGTTGCTAGTACATAGCTAGAAAAAATGCAAGACAAAGAAAGAAACATCCAAATGGGAAACATTTGCTTAATGAAAACTCTGTATCAGATAAAGGGAGTTTATACAAATTTATTTAATAAGAGGCGCTTGGCACAGATAGGGACAAAAATATGTGAAATGCTGGTTGGTGTACAGGAGTGTTTTTAAAATAAAACTTCCCATCTCTTCCTTAACTTTTAACTTCATAAACTTTCCAAAATATATTATTTGTAATTAAAAAAAAGGAAAATGGAAAGCATTGGTAGCTGAAATAATAAACATAACTTCAGCCTCTAGGTATATTTGTGTTTTCTCTTGTGTTATCTCAATATACTAGGTCAACACTGAGTTATTAATTTGTGTATGACCACAACCTTGCTAGCAGTTTTAACAAGAGGAAGAACTTCTGCACAGAGAAACAGTTATAGGGCTGAATAGACCTTGGAAGCAAATTTAATCTCTCCTTTCTCAAGAACTCTTAGCAGAACTTTGTACCACATGGTAAATATCCCTGTTTGACATTCAGTAGATTAAAAAAACCTCAGTATTTAAAGACCTGGTCATTATGAAAGTTCTATGCTCTGAAATATTTATCATATTAAAGAAAACTATTAATCTTAAAATGATAACATGGCTTGGCAGGAAGACACATTTTTCATTTTTGATGTTCTTTGATGGTATGATAGAGATGGAGACATTTATTCAGGCTATATATTAAAAAAATATGTTAGTTAAAAGAAACTATTTAGACATCTAATCTGTTTTTGGTCCCTGAATGTTCCTGAGCCTACTCCTGTTCCAGAGAAAAGGGATTTTGGGCAAAGACCTGTTACACAGATTGCACAAGTGTATCTTCAGTATTCTGGAAACTTTTTTTTTGTTTGTTCAGGAGCAATTGCTACAGAAGAAGGTCTTCCAGTAGATAATGAGTAGCAAGTGTAAGAATTAATTTTGTCTTACCAATGAAAGGTAGTTGTGGCTGTGTAACGTAATGTACTGAGCCCTGCATTACGTGTTAGTGGGCTTGAGAACAAAGCCTTTTTTTTCTATTTCTGTTGGGTGTTTTTGTTTGTTTGTGGTTTCTTTGTTTGGTGGGTTTGTTTTGTTTTGTTTGGTTTTTGTTTCTTTTAGTGTGTGTTTGCAATTTTGGGTTTTGTTTAGTTTTCTCTTTTTGTGGGTTTTTTTTTGGTGTGTTCTTGGCGCTTTTTTGAGACTCACAAGAGCAAACAGCTTTTCAGGTGTCAGCTTCAGAAAGGGTAGAACATTTTCTGTATCAGTGAAGGTTTTTGGTGCCTTAATAGGGAGTTCTAAAGAGGAAATGGTAGTAGGTCAATCCAATATAGCTAAGGACTACTGGGTGGTAGATTTTTTTGTCTGCATATCTCTGGTTGATTAAAAGATCAGGATTAGAAATATTATTTTTGGGGTTCTTTTAGATATCCAAACCGTAATGTGATAGTTAAAAGTAGGTTTTTTTTTAAGATTTGGGTTTATAATGGGGGTAGGAATATGTATATGTATATGTATATGATGCTCCCATGGGTTTCTCTGGCTGTCTTAAGATGCATTCAAGCTAAAATCATATAATCATTTCCTCTTTAATTTCTTTTCCATATGTTGTTTGAGGGTACTTGGGTTTATTTTTCTGCGCTCAGAGGAATCCACAAACCACATGTGTAACTTGCTTTCATCTCCTGACTATACAAAATAAATAAAGTTCCAGCCTGGAGAAAGTAGTGGTAGGTCTTTCCTTGGATGTGACCTTCAGCAGGATTTCAGGCGTCGTGGAGGAATGTAAAGGAGATAATTGTAGAGCCAAAAATACCTCAAAAGCAGAGGCCTGTGGTTTGGGTTATAATCCAAACCTAGTTAAGGGACATGTAATATTTAGGTTAAAATTGCTTATAGAACTATTCTTTATAGAACTTTTCTGGAGAGGACTGATATATGACTACTTCCCCTTAACCGTTCCTGGCTGGAGCCAGCCTTTCCTTTTCAGCTACACCACTTGTTAAAAAGTACCTCACTAAAGAGCTAACACTCCTGGTGCCCAAGAGGCCTCCGATGAGGAAGTTCTTGGAGTTCTCCAAAATGTAAAGAATCATTTGGCTGTGGCCTGTGTTGTATGAACAGAAGCAATCTCAAACTTCAACAGCTTCAGCCTCATGTCAGGGCAAGATAGCAGTAACTCTAGGAGTTACTAAATGTTTTTCAAATACCATAATATTTCCTGCAAAGCTATTTGTGTTCCTGATGAATTTTTCCATCTTGATTTGATGACCTCCATTAAGGTTTTAAGAGGGCTTTTGTCTTGTCACTGAAAAGCAAGTGGCTTTTTGTGAACAGTTCAGAGCTGGAGGTCTAAGGCACATAATTCAGTGCTTATTACCTGTGGTGAATGTTGGTAGTGAACCCAGAAGCTTCTTTTCCTTTCTCTGAAGTACAATGGTATACAGCTGGCTTATTTTTTTCTTTCTGGGAGTGACCGTGCAGGAAGCAATAAATTAAAATAAAAACAACAAAACAAAACTCCACAAACATTCCTAAATCTCAGCACTGCAAAGGAGCTGATTTAAATTATGTGAATAATTTGTGAATATATCTTCCAGATCTTTTCAATTTAATTTATGACTGTGGAAACAGTTTACAAATTAAGGCTCCATACTGCTCTTGGTCCAGTGAGACACCTACTTCAGGCTGATTTGCTGTGCTAAGCTTTGTAGTGTGGCTGTTTTCTGAATGTCAGTCAGTATAAAATGAGGAATTTCCAGTGTGGTAAACAGAAAGAAATGGAGGCCTTTTAGGAGAATATGGTGTGTGGGTTTCTAAAGAACATGAGACAGACAGCAAACAAAATATCTTGGCGGCGTAGGCAGCTTTTCCCAAGATAATCTGCAATGATTTCCTTTGGAAAAGAAATTGTTTATAAGTAAAACCGGTAAGTAAAAATATATCTTTGGAAATTTATGCTGTTTGATTATACGATATCCTTTCAGACTGATCCCAGGAGTCGGTGTTGAGCAGTTGTTGCTGTTGAGTGGTTGCTCTCCTGCACAGAGGACCCTGAGCCATGGGGCTCTTTTAGGCTGGTTTTATCTCCCACCATTCAACTGGTGCTCAGCTGGGACCACTGGGATAGTTTGGATGTGTCCCATGAAATCTGTAATGCAGCTGCTGACACTTCTCCCCAGGTTTCCATTAGCTGACCCGTCTCTTGTGATTTGTTTCCTTCAAAGTTATTTGGGCTTTTTGAGAGCTGTCCCAAGTATGAGGAAGAATACCAGTAGCAATTAAAAGAGGATATTTATGGTTTTGCCTCCAATATATTGCTGGCTAACTGCTCTTGAATAACAAGAAGGCAGAAAAAATCCATAGCACTTCATGCTGTTTTGCTTGGTCTTTTCTGCAATAAATGGATCTCTTTTCAATGGTACAGACACTTCTTCAGTGGTCCAAATTTTTACTATAGTGGCTTATTTGTAAGAAAATGTAAGAGAAAACATAAGTGGCACAAGTCAGGTAAATCTCTCCAGGCAAGAAGTGAGTAGGTTTTTGGTAAG